GAAGTCCATGGTATCCTTTTTAAGAAAGATATTTGCAAATGTAAAACATGCTTCAAATGGCTCCTTTTATAGCGCAAAATGACAGTATATACGCGATTTAATCGTTTTCTTTTGATTGCGCAAGAAATAATGATGAGAGAGATAAACCGATGTCAAGAACAGATAGAGAAGCTCAAGCGCAACATAATGATACCTCTTAGAAGTCCATGGTATCCTTTTTAAGAAAGATATTTGCAAATGTAAAACATGCTTCAAATGGCTCCTTTTATAGCGCAAAATGACAGTATATACGCGATTTAATCGTTTTCTTTTGATTGCGCAAGAAATAATGATGAGAGAGATAAACCGATGTCAAGAACAGATAGAGAAGCTTCAAGCGCAACATAATGATACCTCTTAGAAGTCCATGGCTTTCTTTTTAAGAAAGATATTTGCAAATGTAAAACATGCTTCAAATGGCTCCTTTTATAGCGCAAAATGACAGTATATACGCGATTTAATCGTTTTCTTTTGATTGCGCAAGAAATAATGATGAGAGAGATAAACCGATGTCAAGAACAGATAGAGAAGCTCAAGCGCAACATAATGATACCTCTTAGAAGTCCATGGTATCCTTTTTAAGAAAGATATTTGCAAATGTAAAACATGCTTCAAATGGCTCCTTTTATAGCGCAAAATGACAGTATATACGCGATTTAATCGTTTTCTTTTGATTGCGCAAGAAATAATGATGAGAGAGATAAACCGATGTCAAGAACAGATAGAGAAGCTTCAAGCGCAACATAATGATACCTCTTAGAAGTCCATGGCTTTCTTTTTAAGAAAGATATTTGCAAATGTAAAACATGCTTCAAATGGCTCCTTTTATAGGGCAAAATGACAGTATATACGCGATTTAATCGTTTTCTTTTGATTGCGCAAGAAATAATGATGAGAGAGATAAACCGATGTCAAGAACAGATAGAGAAGCTCAAAAGGAACATAATGATACCTCTTAGAAGTCCATGGTATCCTTTTTAAGAAAGATATTTGCAAATGTAAAACATGCTTCAAATGGCTCCTTTTATAACGCAAAATGACAGTATATACGCGATTTAATCGTTTTCTTTTGATTGCGCAAGAAATAATGATGAGAGAGATAAACCGATGTCAAGAACAGATAGAGAAGCTTCAAGCGCAACATAATGATACCTCTTAGAAGTCCATGGCTTTCTTTTTAAGAAAGATATTTGCAAATGTAAAACATGCTTCAAATGGCTCCTTTTATAGCGCAAAATGACAGTATATACGCGATTTAATCGTTTTCTTTCGATTGCGCAAGAAATAATGATGAGAGAGATAAACCGATGTCAAGAACAGATAGAGAAGCTCAAGCGCAACATAATGATACCTCTTAGAAGTCCATGGTATCCTTTTTAAGAAAGATATTTGCAAATGTAAAACATGCTTCAAATGGCTCCTTTTATAGCGCAAAATGACAGTATATACGCGATTTAATCGTTTTCTTTTGATTGCGCAAGAAATAATGATGAGAGAGATAAACCGATGTCAAGAACAGATAGAGAAGCTTCAAGCGCAACATAATGATACCTCTTAGAAGTCCATGGCTTTCTTTTTAAGAAAGATATTTGCAAATGTAAAACATGCTTCAAATGGCTCCTTTTATAGGGCAAAATGACAATATATACGCGATTTAATCGTTTTCTTTTGATTGCGCAAAAAAAAATGATGAGAGAGATAAACCGATGTCAAGAACAGATAGAGAAGCTCAAGCGCAACATAATGATACCTCTTCGAAGTCCATGGTATCCTTTTTAAGAAAGATATTTGCAAATGTAAAACATGCTTCAAATGGCTCCTTTTATAGGGCAAAATGACAGTATATACGCGATTTAATCGTTTTCTTTTGATTGCGCATGAAATAATGATGAGAGAGATAAACCGATGTCAAGAACAGATAGAGAAGCTCAAGCGCAACATAATAATACCTCTTAGAAGTCCATGGTATCCTTTTTAAGAAAGATATTTGCAAATGTAAAACATGCTTCAAATGGCTCCTTTTATAGCGCAAAATGACAGTATATACGCGATTTAATCGTTTTCTTTTGATTGCGCAAGAAATAATGATGAGAGAGATAAACCGATGTCAAGAACAGATAGAGAAGCTCAAGCGCAACATAATGATACCTCTTAGAAGTCCATGGTATCCTTTTTAAGAAAGATATTTGCAAATGTAAAACATGCTTCAAATGGCTCCTTTTATAGCGCAAAATGACAGTATATACGCGATTTAATCGTTTTCTTTTGATTGCGCAAGAAATAATGATGAGAGAGATAAACCGATGTCAAGAACAGATAGAGAAGCTCAAGCGCAACATAATGATACCTCTTAGAAGTCCATGGTATCCTTTTTAAGAAAGATATTTGCAAATGTAAAACATGCTTCAAATGGCTCCTTTTATAGCGCAAAATGACAGTATATACGCGATTTAATCGTTTTCTTTCGATTGCGCAAGAAATAATGATGAGAGAGATAAACCGATGTCAAGAACAGATAGAGAAGCTCAAGCGCAACATAATGATACCTCTTAGAAGTCCATGGCTTTCTTTTTAAGAAAGATATTTGCAAATGTAAAACATGCTTCAAATGGCTCCTTTTATAGCGCAAAATGACAGTATATACGCGATTTAATCGTTTTCTTTTGATTGCGCAAGAAATAATGATGAGAGAGATAAACCGATGTCAAGAACAGATAGAGAAGCTCAAGCGCAACATAATGATACCTCTTAGAAGTCCATGGTATCCTTTTTAAGAAAGATATTTGCAAATGTTAAACATGCTTCAAATGGCTCCTTTTATAACGCAAAATGACAGTATATACGCGATTTAATCGTTTTCTTTTGATTGCGCAAGAAATAATGATGAGAGAGATAAACCGATGTCAAGAACAGATAGAGAAGCTTCAAGCGCAACATAATGATACCTCTTAGAAGTCCATGGCTTTCTTTTTAAGAAAGATATTTGCAAATGTAAAACATGCTTCAAATGGCTCCTTTTATAGCGCAAAATGACAGTATATACGCGATTTAATCGTTTTCTTTTGATTGCGCAAGATATAATGATGAGAGAGATAAACCGATGTCAAGAACAGATAGAGAAGCTCAAGCGCAACATAATGATACCTCTTAGAAGTCCATGGTATCCTTTTTAAGAAAGATATTTGCAAATGTAAAACATGCTTCAAATGGCTCCTTTTATAGCGCAAAATGACAGTATACAGGGTGTATCATAATAAAGGATATTGAAGTTTAATGACGATTTATATGAAAACTACTGATTTCATAATCAAGCACTTATGTCTGTTGTAAAGGACAGAATGTCCTCTTTTTAATGACACCCCAATCATACTTCTACTGTCACAGTTGACTGAATAACAAAGCATTGCTGTCCACCATGTGAAAGGTGCACTGTGCCAAGTTTGATAACATTTCCTTCTTAGACACATAATCCACTCATTGTTCAGCATTTCAATATGTCTGGGCTGACACAAGCACTAATCTTTGAATGCTAACTTGTCACAGTGCACCTTTGACATGGTGGACAGCAATGCTTTGTTATTCAGTCAACTGTGACAGTAGAAGTATGATATAAATCGTCATTAAACTTCAATATCCTTTATTATGATACACCCTGTATACGCGATTTAATCGTTTTCTTTTGATTGCGCAAGAAATAATGATGAGAGAGATAAACCGATGTCAAGAACAGATAGAGAAGCTCAAGCGCAACATAATGATACCTCTTAGAAGTCCATGGTATCCTTTTTAAGAAAGATATTTGCAAATGTGATGAAAAACTAAAAGATTCCTTTAAATGTATTCCATGGAATCTATATATTGATGAAGAGAGCATTGATAACACATGTGAACTTCACACTTGTGTTGCAGGCAGCAATCAAAGATGTATTTATCAAAGGAAATAGTTAGAATGTCCAGAAGAAAGAGAAGAGCTTACAGGAAAGCAAAGAAAGAGAAGAGCTTACAGAAGAGCTTACAGGAAAGCAAAGAAAGCAAATAATCACATACTGTACATGTAAAGAGGATTTCCATAACAATGAAACACCTTGCTCTATTGTGTACACTCCAAGACATTTAAATGCCATTAACAAATCATGCATGCCAAAGTCTTGCCAGTATCATTCTTTGAGTATTTAAATAGAAGAACAGCTGAAAGGTCTTTTATCTATTCACACATTGAAAAGTGATTGTTATAACTTTCACTGATTGTGCATATATTAAGATGCATGGTGGGAAATCAATTGTTCAGGCAATGATTATTCATCAGCTCATCATGTTTATGCATAAGTCACAAAAAATATTGGTGAGGAGGGGATATGTTGTACTAACTGTCCTAAAATTCTCTATCAACAGGTAAGGTATATATGGAGGAGACTGCACTTGTACTGGATGTGACGCCATGTTCACATGCAGGGCCAGATCATCAGTTGGGGGGAAAATGGGGTTAAACTTGCGGGGTAAGTATATGCTGTATATCTGGCCCTGTTGTCACAGTTCCATGTTAGTAGTTTTCTGCTGGCATGGATCTCCCCTGATCCTCCCCTGATGGCAATTTTCGAATATGATAAATCAAAATATATTAAAGCTCTTGAGCATTTCTCACTCCGTTTAACCATTATTTTTGTGTATTTTTGAGACGGTTTAGTAATGTAGTGAGTAAAAACTTGCTGAGAGGCAGCACAATTTGAATTTTCAAGTATTCTTTCTAACATCGGTAGGTTGAAACAAGGGAAACGCTCTCGGCGGTCTCGCCTGTATTACGCAATTCGATATGATGAAAAATTGAAGTTGGAACATTATTTATAGGCAGGGTGGCCTATCAGAAGGCCCCAAAAATGAAATCCTCTGAATATAATCAGCATTTTGAAGTGAATATTGATTAAGAATCATGAACAAATAACAAAAATTGATTCTGTTAAAACATAATCCAAGGCTACTGACCTAATATCCTCTAGGAGCATCTTGGTAAATGTTACATACTCTTCCACGCTGGTCTTAGCCACCTTCTCTGTGAACCTTCAATGAGCCTTGACAAACTAGGATTCTTCATAGCAAAGTGCCCTCTGTTGTTGGGTGCAGCATACAGACCAAGCCTCTCCAGGATAAGATGCCTGCATCGTAGGTGATCAAGGGAGTATTTGAAGATCTTGGCTTGAGTCATGTCTGAGTTGTTCTGGATACCCATCCTGAAGTAGCTATACTGGAAACGAAGCTCTGGGGATAAATAAATGTAATTTGTAAATGAATATTGATTGATGTGTAGTTCAATTAAACAAGGGAAACGCTCTTGGCGGTCTCGACTGTATTACGCAATTCGATATGATGAAAAATTGAAGTTGGAACATTATTTATAGGCAGGGTGTCCATTAGCTGGCCCCCAAAAATGAAATCCTCTGATAAAATCCTCTGATAAAATCAGCACTTTGAAGTGAATAATTGATTAAGAATCATGAACAAATAACAAAAATTGATTGACTAAGGACTTATGCTTTCAAAATTATATCAAAAATTCAAAAAAATTACCTAATTAATTTTTTTTGACGCCGCCGTCACCGGAAAAGCGGTGCCTATGTCTCACTTTTTTGCTACACAGGCGAGACAAAAACTAGATGGTTGTTCGACTGCGCGCAGTCGAAAATGATGCCTCCGCCATAGAGCAATTTTTCAAATTCAAGTTTGATTGTAAGCCATTAACAGCTTCACAGAATATCATTATTACAAGCTATTTTTTATATACATGTATAACCCTTTGGTCTTTGATCTTATGACCCTAAAATCTAATCTGTTCGATGACTCTGCAAGATACATACATGTCCCAAGTTTGATAGTAATCCATTCTTCAGTTCTAATAGGAAGGCATTCACAAGCTATTTTTGAATACATAATGAGCCCCATGACCTTTGACCTTAGGCCTCATGACCCCAAAATCTACTCAGTTCATTGGCTCTGCAAGATAAATACATGTTTTGAGTATGATGGTAATCTGTCCATCGGTTCTAATAATAATGTGATCATAAGCTATTTTGCATACATAATGAGCCCTGTGACCTTTGACCGCAAAATCTAATCAGATCATTGGCTCTGCAAGATACATACAGTACATGACTAAATTTGGAATACATCAATCGGTTCTTGAGGTAAAGTGATCACAAGCTATTTTTGCATACATAATGAGCCCTGTGACCTTTGAACTCATGACCCCAAAATCTAATCAGTTCATTAGCTCTGCTATCCTGCCAACATTTGAAAATTATGGGAATTAAGAATTTTTAGCACGGTATGTCTTCGAAAAGAAGAATTCTGTACCCTTAATCAGGCGTTCGCACATGAAGCGGCAGTGTAACTGGCAATACGCGGTAAATCTGTGCAAAAAAAGCGAATACAAATTCGCTGCTCAATCATGCAGCTCTTCAACACACGCAATAAGTGAACTCTCACATCGCGGCAAGCTTAATTTGGCTTAAGCAACACACAAAAAAAAAAAAAAAAATCCGGGATATTCCACATTTTGGGGTCCAAAAAATCCAGAAAAACGGTATATTCCGGATTATTCGGGAGGGTTGGCAGGTATGTAGTGCTGTAAGTCAGACGCTATGTTCGTGTTCGGTTCGATTCGGCAGAGTTCGGCAATTTTTCACCCGAACTTGGTTCGGTTCGGGGTTCGGTAATATAATAGCAAGCAGCGTTATAGCCACGGCGATCGGCACTGGGCGGGCCGGCCAGCCAGCCGGGCCCGACCAGCACGGAGAACTTCTCCACACTGCTTCCGACCAGCACAAATTTCACATTAAAACACTGCTCTAAACGTAATTATTTGTGAAGAAAAGTACTACTTACATTCGTATTTCCGTCTTGAATCGTGTTTTATTTTCAATTTTAAAAGAATCATGTTTTCAATTTGTCAATATACAGTTATTGACTGGCAGGGGGTGTAATATAACATTATTTAGACCACTGAAGGGAGTAACATTTCCCAGGTGGTTATATTTTCACGAGGGAAAATACTCCCTTCAGGTCCAAAGAATGTTATATACCCCCTGCCAGTCAATAACTGTTATATTAGAGAGCCTTTTTTTGGGGGGGGGGGGGGGGGTCCATATTTTTTTTTGCCCGAAATTTTAATTTTTTTTTTCTTCAAAATTACGTAAAAATTATCTGTCGAGGTAGTTCAAGAAAGAAAGAAAAATTCAAAAACAATTTTGGGGGAAAAAAAAAAAATCCAAAAAAATCCAAAAAAAAAAAAATTCTTACCCTAAAAAGCATTTTTCGGGAAAGAAAACAAAAATTACCCAAAAAAGCATTTTTTGGGAAAAAAACAAAAATGTGGACAAAATAATTTCAAGGGAAAAAAAAAATTCATGAAAAAATATTGAAAAAATAAAATAACCCTCGGTTAGGGTGTAATGTGTGTAATCGGTGACATACAGTCCTCAAGAGGGCGACATGCATTGATTAAAAATATATTCATTTCACCAGCCGGTAAAATATAACACCGAAAAGTGACCGGCCAGGAAAATATAACAATTTGGATCCTCGCAATTGATATCACGTGACGAGCTCTGGACCAATCACATCTCGGTATCTGTCTAAGCTATCTAATATTAAATGATATTTTTTAAAGATTTTTCGAGACGGTTGTTGTCTAATGTTAGAGTCATGAAAACTGCCATCGTCAATAACTGTTTTTGATAAGTTTTTATTTTCAATACGAAAAATATAAAATCCCTATTTTTCCTGAATAAATAAATACCATGCTATAATATATATTTATTTCATTATTTATATTGCAAAATCTGTCCGATATTGTTACAATTAAAATATTATTTGTTTGTTGAATGGCTTGAGCTGAACATGTTTTGATCACGCACATGTAGATCTATTCTTGTTTATGGCTTGCGATTGCGACGTATAGCGTGGTCAGGATTTGGGATTTAAATGGCGCCAGTGAAGTTGCGCCCACCACTCGATAAACATAAATCACAAAGGCAGAAAATGGGAAAAAATTAAATATAAAATGAGCAATCATGACATGAAATTTAGGTACAAAATGACAAGTTTGTTACCTTGCAAAAACGTTTACATTTTTCTGCCGAACATCCGAACCAGGCCTTTGCGTTCGGTTCGGTTCGGTTCGGAAGTGCCATGTTCGGCGAACTTTCGTTCGGTTCGGCGGTTCGGCTACAGCACTACAGGTATGTATATATACTAGACCAAAAGCTTCGGTCTCTCTAATCGTTGATTGTTCCACTGAGACTACGTCTGGCTCCACTAGACCTCCGATTATAGAGACTGAAGTTCGTCCTATGGGGACTGTACGGAACAAATGGTTCGGTTCGGTTGGACCGTGATGAATGAGATATGCAACACGATTTTCACTCTTTTCATCCTCATAAATGCTGGAATATTGCAATAATTAGAGTCTAGATCTATATTAAAACTAGATGAAATTTGACTGCGCGCAGTCGAAAATGATGCCTCCGTCATAGAGCAATTTTACAAACTGAAACGGAAGAAATTTTTCAAATTCAAGTTCAATTGTAATCCATTAACAGGTTCTCAGAATATCGGGATTACAAGCAATTTCTCATATACATATATGACCCTTTGACCTCATCTTTGACCTCATGACCCTAAAATCTACTCAGTTCATTGGTTCTGCAAGATGTCCTGAGTTAAATAGTAATCCATCTGTCAGTTCTAATGAGAATGCATTCACAAGCTATTTTTGCATAAATAATGAGCCCATGACCTTTGATCTTATGAACCAAGAATCTACTCAGTTCATTGGCTCTGCAAGTAACATACATGACCTAAGTTTGGCAGGAATCCATCAATCTGTTCTAATGATAATACGATCACAAGCTATTTTTGCATAATGTGCGCTGTGACCTTTGACCTCGTGACCCCAAAATCTTATCAGTTCATCGGCTCTGCAAGTAACATACATGACCTAAGTTTGGCAGGAATCCATCAATCGGTTCTTGAGATAACGTGATCACAAGCTGTTTTTGCATACATTATGAGCCCTGTGACCTTTGACCTCGTGACCCCAAAATCTAATCAGTTCATCGGCTCTGCAAGATACATACATGACCAAAGTTTGGCAGGAATCCATTAATCGGTTCTTCAGATAACGCGATCACGAGAACGGGACGTACGTACGTACAGACGTACGTACGTACGGACAGACAACCCGAAAACATAATGCCTCCGGCTACTTCGTAACGGAGGCATAAAAATAGAAATAACATATAAGTCTATATAGCCGATTCGATAGCTTGCTCCTAAATTAATGCTTAATCCAAAAAAGTCTCGTAGTCAACTAACTCCGTTGTCAGCCATCTTGGTTTTAATTGATGAATATTCATTTTTTCTTTTTGAACGTCCAATAGCTACCGTAGCTACGTACAAGTCAGCCCGGCTTGACCCATGAAACGAGTGCTTTGATTGGCCATTGGCTATGTTTTGGTTGACCCGGAAATATATCGGCCGCCGGATCATATAGCTCTATGTTCGAGTGCATGAACGTACGTACTGTTTCACAGTTCTGGACAAAAATGGGACAACTCGTATAAGCAAGTCCTTAAATTCCGCATTTAATAATTAGTCAGCAAATTTTGATAACTGTAATTAGGAGATAGACACCAACCTAATTTACATCCGATTTAGAAATCAGAAAATTAGATCTAAATAAAGAAAATCGGGAAGAAAATGTCGTGAACGAAAAGATGTTTATCGCTGGCTCTAGATTACCCCCACGGTACGAGATCTCTGTACTACCGTCTGTATATGGGGAATGTCAACAAATGTCAGTTTTATTAAAGAAATGACCCATATCAGACGGTTATTTCTGTCTATATATATACATGACGTAAGTTTGGCAGGAATCCACCAATCGGTTCTTGAGATAACGTGATCACGAGCTATTTTTGCATACATAATGAGCCCTGTGATCTTTGACCCCAAAATATAATCAGTTCATTAGCTCTGCCAGATACATACATGGTTTAACCCTATTTAGCCCGGGCTATTTTGAAACTGCATAGCCCGGGGGGGGGGGGGGCTTCTAACACATTGATAACACATGTGAACTTCACACTTGTGTTGCAGGCAGCAATCAAAGATGTATTTATCAAAGGAAATAGTTAGAATGTCCAAAAGAAAGAGAAGAGCTTACAGGAAAGCAAAGAAAGAGAAGAGCTTACAGGAAAGCAAAGAAAGCAAATAATCACATACTGTACATGTAAAGAGGATTTCCATAACAATGAAACACCTTGCTCTACTGTGTACACTCCAAGACATTTAAATGCCATTACCAAATCATGCATGCTCAAGTCTTGCCAGTATCATTCTTTGAGTATTTAAATAGAAGAACAGCTGAAAAGTCTGGGGCTCAGTAACAGACAGTTTGTGCCATTTGTTAGATGTTCTTGCTGACAGAGAGGGGGAGGAGAAGGACAATGTGTAGTCTCATTAAATAAGTGGGCCTTTGCCTAAGCTGGTAATGCATATAAGATAGGTTTGGATACAACTACATTGCAATGAAACCTGAGAATTTGTATATTGATATACATACCGATACTCTCCAGGTCTTCTTTCAGGATTGCTGGACTGTCAGATAATATGGTCAAGACTTCTGCTATGGGAAATCTGCACTTCTCCATCAGCAACTTAACTGCATTCAACTGAGCACTACATATGGTCAGTATCTATGGCCAATCTGCAATCAACTTCTGCAGTTGTCCTTCCACAAAGCCTAGCTTCCTCAGCTTCTTGACCCTGCTCTGTAGCTGCTGAAGTGATGCCTTCCACAGAGATGCATTTCCATCAAGGGCCTTCATCAACCGTCTCCAGTTCAATCCCAACAAGTGAAGGTGGTCGATGTCACTAAGTAGTTTGTCCATCTTCACAGACAGGATACCAGGATTAGCTACTAGCATTGCAAGAATGCTTCTACAATCACAATCCAGATGGACCAGCTTTTGAACAAGGGGTCTGAGATTCTGCACGGATATTACATATGTTTTTGAAGGTTCTGCTAAGTTCAGTACAGACCTAACTTGGCTGAGAAATGTTTCCAAGTCATCTTCAGTTTCTATCAAAGTAATAACTGCAGGTTCAGTGTCACTGTAGCTTGCACTGGTGCTACTGAAATGTGAGGCAAAAGGTGCTGGTTGTGCAATATATACATTTTAGTTTCCCAACTTTGTGGAACAACTTTGTGCCATTTGTTAGATGTTCTTGCTGACAGAGAGGGGGAGGAGAAGGACAATGTGTAGTCTCATTAAATAAGTGGGCCTTTGCCTAAGCTGGTAATGCATATAAGATAGGTTTGGATACAACTACATTGCAATGAAACCTGAGAATTTGTATATTGATATACATACCGATACTCTCCAGGTCTTCTTTCAGGATTGCTGGACTGTCAGATAATATGGTCAAGACTTCTGCTATGGGAAATCTGCACTTCTCCATCAGCAACTTAACTGCATTCAACTGAGCACTACATATGGTCAGTATCTATGGCCAATCTGCAATCAACTTCTGCAGTTGTCCTTCCACAAAGCCTAGCTTCCTCAGCTTCTTGACCCTGCTCTGTAGCTGCTGAAGTGATGCCTTCCACAGAGATGCATTTCCATCAAGGGCCTTCATCAACCGTCTCCAGTTCAATCCCAACAAGTGAAGGTGGTCGATGTCACTAAGTAGTTTGTCCATCTTCACAGACAGGATACCAGGATTAGCTACTAGCATTGCAAGAATGCTTCTACAATCACAATCCAGATGGACCAGCTTTTGAACAAGGGGTCTGAGATTCTGCACGGATATTACATATGTTTTTGAAGGTTCTGCTAAGTTCAGTACAGACCTAACTTGGCTGAGAAATGTTTCCAAGTCATCTTCAGTTTCTATCAAAGTAATAACTGCAGGTTCAGTGTCACTGTAGCTTGCACTGGTGCTACTGAAATGTGAGGCAAAAGGTGCTGGTTGTGCAATATATACATTTTAGTTTCCCAACTTTGTGGAACATGGATAAAATTCTTCTGTCCATAAAAAGTGGATAACTTGTACTACATGTGGCAAACATCCTACTTTTTCCTACTGTAGAATGATGAATGTGACTTGCAGAAACAGCTGTGTGGTAATTTGATGACCAAGAAGAGAGGACACATCTCTGCAGCTTCCCAAAGAAAGGCATCTGTCTTGAAAGGACACGCAAGGTCAAATAGCTACTGGCCATGATGGTTGTCTTACAATCTTTTAGCTCTCCCTGAATTAATAAAAGAAAAATGCAAAAAATAGACATTAGGCTAATTCATTTGGGCTCCAGTCTTCTGCACATGATGAGAGACTAATAAACAAATTATTCTGGATAGTCAAGTATTATGATATATATATATAGTGAAATTCAAATGTATAATGGGTTTTGAATGTTTATATAAAGTAACAACGTGAAACAAATTTGCATTATATGACAATTAAAGTATTAACATAATAATATTATAACAATGTAATATAGCTGCATAGTGCACACAGTATCAATAATCTCAGTGTGGATTATGACGTGTTGCTTAAAATTTACACATGACTGATATCTACTTAAATGGTCCCTTAAAACATTTAAAGAAAAAACTTCTCTAATCTATGCTAAAATATCCCTTCTGCGCCCAGTAGGCCTGAGTCATCACGGGTTTTGCCGAACCCGGGTTTGACTTGAAAATTTCGGGCGGGGACCGGGTACCCGAAATTTTCACCACTGCACCCCGACACTAGAAATCGTGTGCATGCAACGGCGGGAGTTAGACTAAGTTGCTGTTCAATAATGCGACGAAAAAGACAGTTACTGCTTTCAAAACAATAAAATAATCCATTGAATTAAATTAAGATGCTTTAAAAAATAAATGGATATCATTTCAGTTGACGGTAGGTGTTTTTATATCAATGGAATGATGACGCTGAAGTACATATATTAAAGCATTAAAAAATGAGAAATATCAGCTAAAAGAGGGCGGGAAAAAAAACAAAAAAACATTCAAATCTGAAAATATCGGCCCAAAGAGAGCGACAAAAAAAAAGTTAAAAAAAAAAAAACTTTTCCGACCGACCGAACCATGTTTTGGCACCCAAAGGGCAATACAACAAGTTTTTATTTTAGGCCTAATAGAAGTAGAGGTTCGCTATTCATAAAACGGAATGAGGGTTGCTATTCATAATAGGAGTAGGGGTCGCTATTCATAATACGAAAATGAGGGTCGCTATTCATAATAGGAATAGAGGGTCGCTGTTCATGATATGAAATGAGGGTCGCTATTCATAACATGAAATGAGGGTCACTATTCATAATGAGGAATGAGGGTCTCTATTCATAAGGTTCATTATTCATAAGGGTCACTATTCATGATAAGAGTATAGGTTCGCTTTTCATAACAGGAGTATAGGGTCGCTATTCATAATACGAGAAGAGGTTCGCTATTCATAATACAAAATGAGGGTCGCTATTCATGATACAAAATGAGGGTCGCTATTCATAACTAGAAAATTCGCAATCTGTATTGCCGCGCAATACGAATGTATCTCCCCCGGCAGTGGCAGCGATTTTGTGTCATCCTTATGTTCGAAGGAGGGATAAAGATCCCCTCTCTCCCCTCCCTGAAACAAAAGGATGACGTAGAGATCGCTACTAGTGGCTCAGACTATTGTCAAGACTAGGAGCAGCATCACCAAAACAATATGTGTGTAGATTAGAGTATAATGCATCTCTGTAGAAAATTTGAAAGAAATCTGCGCACAAAAGACAGCCACCAAAATATGACCTTTGACCCTATAACAGACGGAACACAGGTGGCAGCATCACCAAACACTAAAAAGGTGTAGATGATTGTACTAAGACACACCTCCATACAACATTTCAAAGAAATCCATCAAGAAATGTGGCAGTTAGAGCGCATTAAAGACATATTTGACCTTTGACCATATAAAAGATGGAACAATGAGGGCAGCTTCACCCAAAGTGTCGATTGGTAACAAGATACATTTCTAATTCTCTATACAAAATTTGAAAGAAATCCATTATGAAATATGATCTGCAGACCGCAAACTAGACACCCACCTAAAAATATGAACTCTTGACCCTATACAAGACGGAAAACTGGGGGCAGCATCACCAAAAGTTGTAGGTCAGTAGATTATACAAAGATACACCTTCACACAAAATTTGAAAGAAATTTGTTAAGGAATGATGCAGTTAGACCGCAAACTAGAGTGCCACAAAGACATCTATCAAAATATGACCTTTGACCCTGTAAAAGATGGAACACTAGAGGCAGCATCACCAAAATCTATATGCTTGTAGATTATACCAAGATACATCTTTGTTAAAAATTTGAACAAAATCCCTTGAAAAATGTGGCCTATAGAGCGCACACAAACCATCCAAAAAAAATATGGCCTTTTAACCTATAGAATTCGGAACACTGGGGGCAGCATCACCAAAAGTTATAGGTGTGTAGATTATACCAAGATACACCTCCATACAAAATTTGAAAAAAATCCGTGAGGGAATGATGTAGTTAGAGCGCACACAAGAATAAAATAATATGACGCGGCGGCGTAACGCTGCTGAATCTAAAGTACCCCACTGGCATACTGCCGGGGGATACAATAAGAGTAGAGGGTCGCTATTCATAATAGGAGTAGAGATTTCCTATTCATAAAAGTAGTAGAGGTTTGCTATTCATAATACAAAATAAGTGTCGCTATTCATGATACAAAAGGAAGGTGGCTATTCATAACAGGAATAGAGGGTCGCTGTTCAGTGTTCATAATAGGAGTAAAGGTTCGCTATTCATAATACGAAATGAGGGTCGCTATTCATCATAGGAGTAGATAAGAGATTCGCTATTCATAATAGACCAGTTCACGGTTAGCACATTACTGCAATGACCCCAAATATCCACAGATCTTCAAAATATGAAGAGGTCCCACTTTGTACATTCTGAAATAATCCCTCCTACAGCGATGGAGGTGCTATATAAATAGCCTTTGTTTCCCCTTTTCAAAGAATACTTCCACCTGTGTATCAAGGAGTGCACTGAAAGTGCATAAATTATTAAGGATTACATAACTTTCATGAGCACGCATCCAGTATTTCATCTCCGTGTATTTCAAAATTTGTTCTGCAATGACCTTTATCTGCTCATGCTCAGACTGCAACCGTGAACTGGCTTATAGGAGTAGAGGTTCGCTATTCATAATATGAAATGAGGGTCGCTAGTACATGTGTAGATATCCCACCCCAAAATAAAAACGAGGACAAATTTCTCACTGCATTTTTTACTTTAATTGTGTTGCATTAAAAAGACCTTATCAGACCTCCTTACCCATCACCAACACCCTCACCCCAACAAAAAAAGACAATAAAAGTTTGATTCATACTCGGATTGCATAACCTCTTTGTATTATACATGACGCGAAAACCGTCAAGGTCCGAACGTGTTCAAGCCCCCTATCCCCTAAAGTCTCAAACAAATCACAATTCTAAAGTGCTAGATAATCAACCTTTTCTGATAGATTCCACATCGTTTTTTCACAATGCAATCACATGATCAGAAGTCAACTTTATCTTTAATGTCACATTGGCATAGCCTGGATAAGATCAGTCGGAGGGAGGGTGGTTGGGCAAAATGTCACACATGGGAAGTCAAATTACAATACGATTATTTGTGTTCATGGTGTCCTTTTTTTTTCATCACCATAAGGGCGGGAGATGTCTCTATATACTATATATAAAAGGTGAAATATACTTAAAAACAAGACAAATATTCAGGGCCATGTGTCACCTTGGGGGTGTCCTCCGTCCAATATTTCCCTTTGTTATGAGCATTTTGGAAATTGCTTAGGCCTATTTTATTTAATGAATAACGACCCTCATCCCGTATTATGAATAGCGACCCTAACTCTATATTATGATTAGCGACCCTCATTTCATATTATGAATAACAAACCTCTACTCCTATTATGAATAGCGACCCTCAATTCGTATTATGAATAGCGACCCTCTACTCCTATTATGAATAGCGACCCTCTACTCCTATTATGAATAGCGACCCTTATTTCGTATTATGAATAGCGACCCTCTACTCCTATTATGAATAGCAACCCTTTTCTCCAAATATGAATAGCAACTCTCATTTCTTATTATGAATA